GCGGAAAAGGCGAATGGACCTGAGCTGAGATAGAATCCAAAGACCCTCACCTGACAGGAGGTAGTAAAACCGTCTTCTGGAAAGATATGCAGAAGCGTCTTCAAACATCTTCAGAAGACCGCCGGGACTCTTTGGTGAATGGACATAGCTAGCAGTGCAGCTATCGAAGTAGATGGATCGAGACGGCAGGGACTGTAGTCTGCTAAATCGACCGCAAAAATATTCTAGGATCTTTAGGTAGTTTTGCAGCAAGACCAGCCTGGTCAAAGTGAGCTTCTTCAACATCTAGCGAGCATCAACGCCAGTGGTTGCACACAAAGATTCTATAGATCATATCATCGAAGTAATGACGTTGCTCAAAAGTTCATGTCAAAGGCCCTCGAATGCCGCTTTCGTTTCAAGTATCTCTGCAAAATAGCAGTATTAGTATACGGTTGTATAATCGAACACAAGTAGCCTGCCTTCCTTCTTGACGAAGAAGCCACAAAACCGATTTAATCTCTTGGATTCCCAGGCAGCGCGCATCCGACGGGCCAGCACGGATGGCCTCCACACCAGCAGCAAAGGCCGCAAAGGAGATCAATGGAGATCATGTAGGGGAGTTGAAGTGAGCAATAGGATCTATCAGGAAGAATGGGGAAGTCTTTGGGCTATCCATGCTACATTCATCTACATTCCATGTTTGGCATCTCTCATTTTCATTTAGACTTGTGAAAAGCCCGGACTTGACGGACAATGATCAATGACATAATATGACAGGGCGTCGATAGGTTAACAGGGCAACCACTTGAGGTCAAGCAAACGTTGGTGATTGAGGCTTTTCAAAGGCTTGTCAGGCCAGCTGCCACACGTTTCACACATTGCACCTGTACCCTGTCGACTGCGAACAGTGGCAAGTTGTGTAGTTGTATGAGGCGGGTGACGTGTCAGGTTATTTCAGGCCGGTTGCAGAGTGGAGGGATGTGAGGGATTGGCGGGTTGCGGAGCGAGCCAGCAATCCAAATCTTCGCACCATGAGGGTGCAAGACAAAACAACAGAGTGGAAGGGGGGGCTACAAGGATTGAAAAGGATTACATAAAAATATCTAAAAGGTGGCTTAACATTTTCTGCTTCACCTCTTGTGATAGCATATGAATGCATACAGTACGAGCACTTCTTGACACACCTCCACCTGGTAAAGGAGTGAGTAAAGGACCCTGTATTGAAAATCCACGAAACAGTCTCGTCTGTCCGTTCAGGTTGTCACTGCAGTTTTTGCAACAACAAGAAGAAGAAGATGATGATGAAAAAGAAAATGCTTCTGTGTCGATCTAGTATGATCTAGTCCTATCATTCCAACTGCTTGCTTATGATGAACTCTTGTGCAAACCGTTGGGGAGGGGACCAACGTCCGCCTGTCCGAAGAGACACGCGCACCCGCCTGTCCGGTCTACCTGCCTCATCGTAGGCGCGGACAGCCTTGGAGTGAGCGCCATCACCTCAGCGTACAGGTGAGACAATCTATACATGATCGTACACGGTCCCCTGTCCGGTGCTGGCTGGTCAACGGGAAAATGATGGAAAGACCCCCTTCACCACCGACACCACCCAACTAGTAACTACTCATTGCTTGGATTCATGTGTCGCACACAGGATGTGTGTGTGTGCATTGTTGGGTGGATGCGTGGCCGCTGGCCGGTGGCCTGTGGCGGGCCGGTGGCCCGTGGCCGGAATACAAACATTGTATATGTGGCTGTGGGAGGGGACATTCACCGTCCAAAGGATTCCGAATCACTGGCCTTGCCGTAGTTTTCGGAGATTTGAAGCTGCTGTTTTGTAGGGGACGGCAAAGGTGCGGGACTTGGTGTACGTTCGACTTGGGTAAAGCTCCGAGATGAACATTGATTTTCCAACAGCAAACTACCAAGCTTCATCACCAGAAGCAAGTACGTGCAAAGCATGCAAAAGTGGGAACATTCCTTCCTTCAATTCCGCTCTCCGATGAGTCATTTGTGGTCTCTCTGTTCCTGGAGGTGTTCATTTGGTGTCCTTCCCCAACCAGAAAGCTCGGCATGAGCTGCTTGGGATGTTGGAGGACCAAATCCATAATCCACGTTGTTTCATGTCTGTTTGTTCCTCCATTGACCATTCCTAGCGGATGAGTTGAGATGTTTGTTCCTGGGCTTTCTTGTGCTGAGACGTTCCTCGCAGTTTTCATGCCGACCACAAGGATGAACATAACCAATCACCAAGTCCACTAAGATTTCTCTTCTTAAAGTGTAGATGTCTCAGCCAGTTCGCCACCTTCCAACGACATTTCCATGCATTGCCGCGCTGCGGAAGAAGGCATTCCCTCTCTCCCGAAGCTCCTCCGCGTAGCCCGGTCTCTCTCTCTTTCTCTCTCTCTCTCTCTCTCTCTCTCTTTTATTGTAATATATAATATATATTATATGTCACTGCGTCACTTCAGTTGTCCTGGGATATAGACATTAGCGCAGCTGCTTTCTGTAGGGGCACCAATTCCCCTCAGCAGGTTTCATAGATATGCAAAGTGTTTAATTTGTAAAGGTTACTGTAACAATTGACAATTGACAACTGACTGTGTTGATTGAACAAGGCCACCTTCACTTTGCAGTCGTTGTATCTATTGTGGTTGACCCTACTAGTCGGTCACTCTGTCGGAAAATGGCCCAACCATCGAGCCGCGTAGAATGCAATCGAAACCTGCCTCGGTCAAATCAACAAGGCACCTTCATTTGAGACGTCCATCCATACTATTTCTTGTTGGTACCATCCACAATTGACATAGTCATAGGCATCATAAAAACATATAAAAAAAAAACACAAGTGTGGCCCCCTCTCACTTGGTCCAAGGTCTACAAGTGATAAACCCAACTGACCAAAAGCCGAACAAAAGGGGAAAGGCTCTACACATTTTGGGGAAGCGGTCCATCCGACCAGTCCTGTGGTCCATCCGACCTATCACTGCAGCGGCTGCGTTTTTTCAGGACTCAAGTGCTAGCTTGTAATTTCTCTTCACTTTGTGACTTCTTGCACATCAACATAGCAGCTCTATCCAAATATTAACATTTAAAGAACACTTTCTTGTCCTGGGACTTCAACAGCTTCCGTTTCGAAAGTGATTGGGGTGGATGCCAGGAGGGTCTGTCCCTACCTTCTTTTCACATGTGGGCCGCCGGCCCACTGCTGCTGCTACTACTACTACTACTGCTCCTGCTCCTGCTGCTGCTTCTTCTTCTTCTCTGTTGCTCAACTTGCCTATGCCGACACGACCCTTCCTCTGACTCTCCCCAGCTTCTTTGTGGCGGCGCCTCGGCAGAGAGCGCCTTCTGTGTCGCAGCTCCTGCAAGGTGGAGAAGCAGCTTACCAAAAGCACGCAGCTCGTGGATGCCCATAAAGTGAGATCAGCTTCCAAAGGAGTCACACCAGTCATTCCAGTCATCCTGAACCAGCTCAAACATCTGATCCCATTTGAGATGTTTCGGGATGTCTTCCTTCAAGTTGGAAATCCAATTGGTGTACAGTAGCCACATTCACAACGTGATGCGCATCCGCGTTGCTGGGGCCCCAAGTGGGCCACATCAAGTCAACAAACGAGTGAAGTTCCCCCAAAATGTCCAAGTTTCCTGCTGGGAGTCATCTGGCTGACCAGTGGGGTTGTCTGTAAAAAAGAAAGTGCCTGGACGTCTCGTCGAAAGTCTGGCGCCTGGAAGGTTGTCTGGCGCCTGGACGTCTCCTAGTCTCCTCCCCAAAACAATGCATTTAACAGGTGTCCCCACATATTGCGATCATATTCATGCAGCACCTACTGTCTGTCAGGTGTGTGCGAAGAGTGCTGCTGGCTGCTGAAGCTGAACGCTCTGCTTCCGGACAAACATGATGTTCAGTACGCAAAGAGTGCCATAACTAGTGTCATAGATGCTTCCTCAGACCAGATTATAGTGCTATAGACCTTGGTCATCGCAAAGGTAAATCATCACAGGATCTTTTCTTCAGGATCTATCGGTTTACTCTATGCGCCTGGATGCCTTCGCTTGTACCCCACCCATGCCCCATCCCGTGCCTTTGGCTTTTGCGCCGGAGAAGGCCCCGGCCTTGGAACTCACCCAGCCGGTTGCACAACTGAGCTGAGGTATTTGAGGTGGCCCAATTCATCCCCCCAGGAGCTGAGATGAGTACACGGATTCTATTATTTGTATCCAAGATCCATTAAAACAGCGGTAAGCGTAAAAAAGGATCCATTGTGGTCCCAGTCTGTTCTTTTTAGATCTTGGGGGTGGCACCACTTGCAGTGCCGCATGCCGGCCGGTCAGAGCAGCTACCCTCAGCCATTCCTTCTTGCTTCGTCAGTTGGATTGTAAAACCTTCAGACGTTTGCCGCGGAAGGCGAACGAAAACAATTCACCTCATTATTAATTCAGTATTAGGATGTTACGTAGTATTGAACAAAGGCGTGTTGGCAAAAGAGACACACAAAACGTGTCAAAAAATGACCTAGCTAAGCGCGCGGTTCCAGTCTTTTCCACACCAAGCACACCAAGCGCCATTCTTTGGCAGTTGTGGAAGGGGTGATACGAACATCTGCACTCGCCATTCTGCTTTGCTGCCGGACGTGTTGCTATAACTTCTAACATAGGTTGGCGCAAAACAATCAATGTATCTGCAATTACAAGTCAAGACAATTAACCATGCACGCTGCTCCGTGCCCTCAGACTGATATACAGTAGAAAGTGGACCCCCTGCTATGGGGGAACACATGCTTGCAAACACTTCCTCAGAACTAATGACCTTTAAACCACCAAACTCAGAAAGATGACGTTGCGCATCCTACGCCCCGGCTGCAAAGGGGTCATCCAGTGGTCCTCCACACGAAACCATGACTGAAACCAGAGCTCTTCATGCCGGCAAAACCTCCGGGCAGCTCCAATTCTCCAAACCCTTCAGCAAAGCTGACACTTGAAACCTGTCTGCAACACGTTCTATTTTCGACTGGATGACCGTCCCATATGACCAAAGGTCAAGCCGCATCCACAGTTCAATGTTCATATCAGGGAGCGGCACCTGGATCTTTGTTCTAAAGTCTAGACTTATATACTTGAGGCCGAGGGTTGGTGACGAAAGCTAGCAGGGCGGGGGTGAGCATGCAAATGCACACGTCCCAGAGACATCCCAGGGAGGAGTTGAACCCGTGAGGGGGGGCCCCCATACGCATGAAGGTTTCATGCGATGCGGCGCTCTCGAGGATTCCACCCCCTCACTTGCTAAAGCAAGAACAACTCCAGCTAGCTGGTGCTAGCTTTCGTGATTCGTACAAAAACCTCTTCTACCTTTTCCACCTCCAGCAACGCACTCTAGAAGCCTGGCAACTCCTCATTTGAGGAGCCCAACTTGAACCTTCAACCCAACTCCTGCGACCCGATCACACGACCCGATCACTTGCTCCTGAGCGGTGCCGACCGATGGACCGATGAGAGCCTTAGGTATAAGAATCGTTTACAGAGCGGAGCTTCTTAGTGTCCAGGGGCATGCCTCTTTGTCACCCCAGCAGGATCAATGGAAAGTCGGAAAGTCACCGGCAAAGCTCTGATTTGGACCATGGGAGCATTCCTTCAGGAAATTGCAGTGCAACAGTCGGTAAAATCTCAAACACCAAATATATCCAAATATGGACGCGCAACACATAGATTGTAGCGGAAATTGGAAATTGATTTAAGTATGTTTGAACCTCTGTCCTTTCACAATTGTCAGGGCCTGTGTGAATTCTATGACATCTCGGGGTGCACCTTGCACGGATTTGCAGGGTCTAGCCTCGTCTCTTGCCTCCTTTGGGGGCTATCGTTTAGGTTGATGGTTGGAGACCCAAATGACGGAGGGCATGTCCGACAGTTGGCAATTATGAGGGTGTTATAATGGAACCGCATACCCGACTTGTAAGAGGAACTGCTACTCACCTTGCTTGCTTAAACATCTATGGGAGGGCAACATCGTGCGATTGCCCTCAAACTTTGTGTACCGTCTATAGCCCAGAGGTGTCGCCAGAGCCGCAAGACAGCCGGTAGGCACTCACATTCACATGCTGATCCGAGTGATCGGGGGGGCTGTGATGTTCACATTCACATCTTCCGTTGCCAACTGCATCGACCACGTGTGGATCTTTCTTTGGCCATCAAATCCATGAAACAAGTTGGCGGTCTGGTTTCTCAGGTGGGAAAGTGAGAAAACAAGAACAAGCAGCTTAGAACTCTGAGAGAGAGAGAGAGAGAGAGAGACAACAATAACACCCGCCAAAAAAACACCAGGCAGCCGACACGCTCTGAATGATTGCGTTACGGCGTAACGCTGCGAGGCGGCATGTCCACCATCACCGCATTGCTCCACTCCGCGATGCCCAGCTGATTGATGGCGGCCGCCTCCATTCGGGATCAACTGCCAGCTCATGAAAGGGAGCATAACAAATACCCTCAACATCCCTCAACCTTGGAGGGGGGGAACCGTGAGAACCCAATCGTTGGATACTTATTTGTTTCTGAGGTTGGGTATATGTCAGCTATATGTCTAAAAACGAGTCGCTCCATAGAGTATTAGTGATGCTTGCCAAGAAAAGGACTGGATGAGATCAGAAGTAAAAAAGAGTCACCCAAGGATACCCAAGGTATCTATATGATATCAATATGATTAATTAAGTGTGACTGGACGTTGATCTTCCATGTTGCAATTTGACCAAAAGCAATTTTGTCCCTTTTTCGAGTCTTGAAGACCAATGAGGAAAAACACATGTTGCCTTTTTACAAGAAGGGTCAATGGGGTCCATGTCCCGTAACTACCAGAAGTGCATGACGATGCTTGGAAAGTAGTGATTCTATGTGATTCCCAAACGGCCAAGAACTAACTACTGTATGTAAACATGTCCGACTGCAAGTCGCCAGCAGAACTCAGTAGACAGAAGATACTTCCCTGGCCCACCGCCGCCCTCGAACGATGCAGGACGTCGTGGCGAGCAAAAAGGCAACTCGGGAACCTGGCGCATTGGGCAAGTTCTACACCGACCGGCCCGGAAGCGCAGCTCACACTTGCGCGTGGGAGTTTTCCCTTCGCCACCAGTAACGCCAGTCAGCCCCCCCTTCTGAACGATTCCGACATCTCATTCCATCAATCTCTCACGGGCTTTTGTGCCTGGAAGTAGTACTTCAACTTCCGCAAGTGTCGGATGTCGCAGCTGTCAAAGCCATTGTCCCTGACCTCGGCATCTGGCGGAGCCACCCAGGAACGAGTCAAGAATAGCCAAAAGCCGAAGACGTGGTGAACAAATGATCTCCCTGGCCGACATGTTCGGTTCGCGCCACCTATTGCAGCACTTAGCTGATGAAAACCCTTAGCTGATGCCCTGAATCTGCAATCTCTCAGGGTCATCAGCCCAGCCCACCCAAAAACTCAGCCCAAGCTTAAGTATGGTTGCGGCCTACTTATCAGCCCTGACTTTTAGCAAATGTTGCCTGATCGAATCTGGTGCAGGGCAGCACTGGGAATCTTCCTGTCAGCCAACGTCATACGTTCATGAAACGAAGGCTTACACTCGTTTGCCAAATATTCGTGGATTGGCAAACCACCTGTTTGTAGAGGATCCACCCAAGGAACCATTTTCCACATCTTGTTTTGCTCGACATGGTGCAAGGCTTCTCCAAGGACTGAGAAGACATGGTTTGATCTGACCCTTCTTCTGCAATCATCACAGGCAAAACCCCTCTGGCCCCATCACCGCGAAAACACACGGTCTTTTTGCGGGCGATTTCGCCATGGTTCCACTCTCGAAAGGAGTGAAAGGCACAGTTGCTGAGACGGCGGGTGGGGAGGTGTCATTCTCAGTCTCCGAGAGTTCCCCAATCCGTTCCGGTTCCGAGAGTTCTCCGATGGATTTCCTTCGAGTCGAGTCTCAAAAGAACACCATCATCACGTGGAAACAATGGCAGGAACACCTGACAAAACCACAGGAAATTCCTGGTTTTTGAAAGGGGTTCCCTTTGAGTCCCTTTTGGTGAGGATCTGTCATTGTCTCCCCTTCTCAGATTTTGCCGAGAACGCACCCCTGTACGTGACCAAACAGCCTCGCAGAACCAGCACGAATTCTGTAGAGCTCAAGCGATTCAAAAAGCATTGCAATGAATGTAGACTCTTGAGAAAGAAAACCTCCCCCATTTGGATGAACGGACTTGCGGACAGTCGAGTCTGGCGCGCCTCCACGCTCCCCCTTGCTATATTGTATAGCGGGTGAAGGTGGATGTGGGGGGTGAGACATACTACCTGATGACACGTGAAAAGGTCGAGATAAAAGAGACTGTACACTACGAAGGCATACGAGAAGCGGCAACAAACAATGTGTCTGGATCGGTAGGTGTCTCGAAGATCTTTGTGGGTGCAAAGTGAATTGGCAGGTAAATTATCTAATTGGGGCCCGGATGTACAACCAAGTCGAAATTCTTCTTCCTGAACAAATAGTACCTGATATGTTGCGTGAACTTTTCCCTTTTGCTCATGGAAACCTCTGGCCAATTTGGCCACGGTGGTCGATCGTCACGTGGAACGATTGGAAGTGGGAGTATTTCATTATGAAATGGCGGGTTATGTGGAATTGTCAGAACCAGGTCTTTCAAATACTGGTATGTTTCTGCTGCGTTGGGGAGTTCAGGATGTCTAGAAATTCCAGACTCGTGATATCTGGAAAATCCCAGTCTAGTAAGGCTAGATGTTCCCTGTTGTTTGTAAGCTGGTACAATCTTGCATCTTGAAAATGTCTGTAGGTGTTTGATAATCAGGCGAAAGGTCTCTGCTAGGACTCGCACCGATTTAAGTTTCACGGGCTGAAGGCTGGTTTTTGGATCATCGTATTCTAGTATTTCTTGAGACGCTTTATTAGCGACTCTGATGGGTAGCGAGCGTCCTGCCCATAGCATGAACGATACTGCCAATTCCGTCCAAGATATTCCCGGATCTTTAGGGACCGGTGCTGCCGTTTCGGCAGGCCACTTTAGCACGGTGCAAAAGGTCCAGACAAGTCGCGCATGATTGCAACCCCAAGGGCAGGACCAGAAAACAACTCTGTGTGGTTCTGCAGGCAAGGTAAACAAATTAGTAGCTGAAGGCCAATCGCGAAGTTCAGCCAGCTTTGACGAAAACGACGGTGTCAGAATTGTAGATTGCTGGCCTGCTTCTGTTTGCTGATCAGCAGCATTCATGGTCTTTTTGTTCTCAGTGGCAATTTCATCTAAGGTAGTCATACGTTCGCAAGACAAGTCGAGAATATATTTATAGATTTCATAAATGTTTTGTCGTTGTGTCTGGTAGTGTGCACGTAAGTGTTCACACTGTTGTAGAAAGTCGGGCAGGTCAGCAGCGCATGTTCGCACTGCGGCCTCGTCAGCGAACATATTTCCTAGAATATGGTATTCCTCCTCACTGGAATGTGCATCTTCAAGTTTCTGGTGGGACCGAATCTTGAAAACGTGGAATCTATGGCATATCCACACTTTACACAGTTGTGTAATTAGGTCCCAGTGATCTCTTTTGTGAGGGGATTCCAGAATGGTGCCCTCTTCGATATGGGATATCACATTTACTACGAATTGCGAGTCCGTGTAGAAAGAAACCTGGGAGGTGTCGTCAGATAGGTTGGCTTGTTCGGCACTAATCACTAGGGCAAACAACTCGGCACGATTTATAGTTTGTTTTCCCGGGCAGTGTCCTGTGGCCAGGACTTGGTATTTATTTTCTAAGGTAGATGATGACCGTGAGCGATGTACAACCGCCCAAGCAGCTCTTGCGGCGTAGGGGCTCGTGGGATTTTGGCATGACCCGTCCGTATAAAACACATCACCATTGTGGACATTAATTTGTGTATCAATATGTACGGTTTGGTAACGGAGGTGCATGGCCTGTCGGATCAAGGCTAGCTCTGACGAATGCACGGGCAACGGGAACCAACATAGGTATGTGTGCATCTGCAAGTGTTGTATAGCCTTTGGATGTTGTTTACGTATATGTTGAAAGGCTGGGCACTCAAGCAGGAAGTGTTTATGCGTGTCGAACTGTTTGCAAAATGGGCATTCTGGTGACTGTGTGGCACTCCATTGGGCTATAACCCCGTTGGACTGCCATCCGGCAGTAATGGTGATGGCTAAGATTCTACGTTGTCTATCCGTGAAGTGTTCTAAGATTTTATTAGCTGTCCAAGAATCGAATGGCGTAGGAGGAACGCCTTTGCGGTGCGAAATCTCATTATGGCAATGCCAATCCCATGCAATTCTCAACTCTTTTTTAATGGCTTTGCTTGTAGCAGTTTGGATATTAATGCGTAATCCTCCGGGTCCCAGTAACGTTGCACCGGGTGTGACCTCCCAATCGAGACGATGGATGTATGCGGCCAGGGCCGTTGCCGGACCGTGGACTTGGCCACTATACCTACGAAGGGATTGCACGAAATTGTTGGCAAGTGACGGGTGGTACACAAATAGCCTACGCAATGTAGTGAACATGTCCGAAATGACGTATAGCATGGGGTCTTGAACCCTGTGTGACAGAAAATGAAGTGCTACGTGGCTTGAGGCTTGTTTATGGTCACCCACGAGTACATTGGTGGCGGCTCTTCTAAGGTTGGTGAAATGCTTTTCTCCAATGGTCATACCGAGGGCACCGTAAAATGTCGCGGGCCAAATGGCCGTTTGAATTTTTTCTGCCCGTTCCTCTAAGCTCAAATTTAGTTTTCGAAGTCTATTGCATTTGGCCATTGCATTGTCAATTTTATCACGAAGTGGGCCGAGTACTACCTGGTTTGTATAAGCAATCATGCAGCCTAGGTCTTGTACATGGTTCTTAATTTTGAATCGGAAGTTAGGCTGTAGCATTATTTGGGATGCGTCATGCCAGAACTGTCTTAGTGGTTTGGACGTCGCCCATCCCCATGACTTATCCAAATCGATTCGCATACGTAGGTCGTGGACAAGATTAAGGATAGTAATCATAGTGCGAAATGTTTCCCGCTCTGATGTCGACATAAATGACCAATTGTCTGCGTATGTGTATGGGTAGATCTGTGGTGACTTGATTGCATGATGGAAAACGAAGCTAAGTGCTAGCATTCCAACCACCGACATTGAATCTCCTTCTGGGAGACCGGTTGTCGAAATGGCAGCCGGTCCAATAGCACGTCCGCACTGCAGGACTCTGGTCAGTCGACGTAATGATTTAAACCAGAAGTCACTTACGAAGACTGGGATGCCCAGTAGACGAAGGATGTATCGGACCACTCGTCTTGGGATGAGATTAAATGCTTTGACCAGGTCCATGGTCCAACCGCACCACGCAGTTCGGTGTGTACGAGCTTCTTCAATTTTTAGCATCTGGATTAAACTTAAATCCCTGGCCGAACGATGGGGAAGTCCTCCGCTAATCTCGGAAGGCCAGGTACTTGTCCATTGTTTTAAAACTTGATCAGCAATAAGCTTGGACGTTAGACGGGCTAAGTAGCCTAATATGGTAATGGGTCTCCCGTCGGAAATAGATTCTGGTTGAGGTTTTTTGGCGAATAACAATGTCCTGGCTTGCATGTGCTGTGCAGTATGTCCATATGACCAGGTTTTGGAGAGGATTTTAGACAAGTCAACAACCATATCCCATGTAAGTGCTTGCAGTTCTTCCGCATGCCATCCATCTTCTCCTATTGCCTTGTAGGGTTTTAGTCTGTGAATTGTGTCCCATAACACGTGTGGGCAGTCGTACTTGATCTGGAGTGGGGTTTGGGGTGGGATGATGTCCTCAAGTCGCCTAAATAAATCAGCCCATGGTTCGTCTGATTCCTGGTCATGCATAGAGTCGCGCTGCCAAAATTGTGCCCAGTAGCGATGAAAAGCTTCGGACATTGGTTCTATGGTGTATGCATGTGTATTGTAGGACAACAAGGCTTTTGCAGGGACGTGGCCCTGCAGTTTGCATAATGCCATTCGGGTATTCTGGATTGAACGGACTTCTGCTGTGCATTCACCGAAATGGACTCGACTGCCTATCTGGACTGGGAGTCTTTTCTGGAGATGTAGGACTGTCTGACCTTTGGAACTGCGGCACAAGGTAGCTTCTGATTGATGAGTGACAGGGATGTCGTGCAAGAATTTCTGGTCTTTATTTTTAATATATTTATAGGCTTGAGTGTTGTTCGTGTGGGACAAAGCATAGGCAATGGAGTGACGTTTGTG